GCATGATCTTACTGTGCCTTGGTATCGCCCTGCGGAAATACAATTAAATTCAAACTGTGTCTATGATCGCCACCATGATCTTACTTCGCCTTGGTATCGCCCTGCGGAAATACTATTAAATTCAAACTGGGTCTATGATCGCTTGCATAATCTTATTACGCCTTGGTATCGCTCTGCGGAAGTACAACTAAATTCAAACTGTGTTTATGATCGCTCGCATGATCTTACTACGCCTTTGTATCGCCCTTCGGAAATACAATTAAAATCAAACTGTGTCTATGATCGCTTGCGTAATCTTACTACGCCTTGGTATCACTCTGCGGAAGTACAACTAAATTCAAACTGTGTTTATGATCGCTTGCATGATCTTACTGTGCCTTGGTATCGCCCAGCGGAAATACAATTAAATTCAAACTGTGTCTATGATCGCTTGCATGATCTTACTACGCCTTGGTATCGCCCTGCGGAAATACAATTAAATTCAAACTGTGTCTATGATCGCTTGCATGATCTAACTACGCCTTGGTATCACTCTGCGGAAGTACAATTAAATTCAAACTGTGTCTATGATCGCTCGCATGATCTTACTGTGCCTTGGTATCGCCCTTCGGAAATACAATTATATTCAAACTGTGTCTATGATTGCCACCATGATCTTATTACACCTTGGTATCGCCCTGCGGAAATACAATTAAATTCAAACTGGGTCTATGATCACTTGCATGATCTTACTACGCCTTGGTATCACTCTGCGGAAGTACAATTAAATTCAAACTGTGTCTATGATCGCTTGCATGATCTTACTACGCCTTGGTATCGGCCACTTGCGGAAATAAAATTTAATTCAAACTGTGTCTAATGATCGCTTACATAATCCTTACTACGCCTTGGCTATTGCTTCTGCGAAAGTACAACTAAATTTAAACTGTGTTTATGATCGCTCGCATGATCTTACTGTGCCTTGGTATCGCCCTGCGGAAATACAACTAAATTCAAACTGTGTCTATGATCGCCACCATGATCTTACTACGCCTTGGTATCGCCCTGCCGAAATACAATTAAATTCAAACTGGGTCTATGATCGCTTGCATAATCTTACTACGCCTTGGTATCGCCCTGCGGAAATACAATTATATTCAAACTGGGTTTATGATCACTTGCATGATCTTACTACGCCTTGGTATCGCTCTGCGGAAGTACAACTAAATTCAAACTGTGTTTATGATTGCCACCATAATCTTACTACGCCTTGGTATCGCCCTGCGGAAATACAACTAAATTCAAACTGTGTCTATGATCGCCACCATGATCTTACTACGCCTTGGTATCGCCCTGCCGAAATACAATTAAATTCAAACTGTGTCTATGATCGCTTGCATAATCTTACTACGCCTTGGTATCGCCCTGCGGAAATACAATTATATTCAAACTGGGTTTATGATCACTTGCATGATCTTACTACGCCTTGGTATCGCTCTGCGGAAGTGCAACTAAATTCAAACTGTGTTTATGATTGCCACCATAATCTTACTACGCCTTGGTATCACTTTGCGGAAGTACATTTAAATTCAAACTGTGTCTATGATCGCTTGCATGATCTAACTACGCCTTGGTATCACTCTGCGGAAGTACAATTAAATTCAAACTGTGTCTATGATCGCTCGCATGATCTTACTGTGCCTTGGTATCGCCCTTCGGAAATACAATTTA